GCATCCCTAAAAGGCCCTAAATGGCCTAAACGCTTGTCACAGTCTTTGCGTTGCTACGGACTCCAAGCTGACTTGACTGCCCACGTTCCGCGCAGATGCGCTGGCTCGAAGGGTGTTCTATGCTGATTCAGGGTTTGTGGCAAAAAGGACGGTGCCGTATCTCTATCCGGAGAAAGTCTCAAGCTGAGAGTGCGCGCTCCTACGCATGATCTTCCGCAAATGCTGCTTTGGTCGTGCCCCTGAGAATACCTGCGACCGACCTCCTCGTCCAGAATAGCAGCCAGAAGCTGCTCAGACACAGAAAGAGCCCGAAGTAGAGAAAGGAACCGTGGCAAGAAATTCAGGCCGAGGGCCTCGATGTTGATGCTGCTATGGGTTATGTTTGGGTCTTTCAGCATAGACAAATTGCAAAAATGCTGCCGAGAAGATGGCTCAGCTCAAGAGCATGTCTGAACAAGGTCAAGCTTGAAAGTGTGGAATGGGGTGTGTTGGGCAGAAGTTGATGTCGGTGCAAATAATTAATGCAGCACTTGGGGTTTAGGGCTTAATAAGTCTCATGTCTTTCTCAGGCTCGCCGGCTGTGCTTGCCTCCGCTGCCGAGTGCATCTGGCGACTTTTGCACACTCTCGACTGGGCATCAATTAGGGGTTAATTCGGGTTGAATGTCAACCGGGAACCCTAAACCCTAACCCCTTTGCTCTCTGTTCCGAGGAAACCTTGGGCTCTGCGTGTTGCTGGGCTTTCCTCAAAATGCTGTGTTTCACTTGTGTTTAAGTGAGACGACAAGGCTGTAGGGTTACAATCAACCTCATAAGCTTAGAAGCCCTACAAAACCCATAGGCTCCACACTTGAAAAAAATCAAGCGCACTTGATTTTTTCAAGCGGAGCTTGAAAAAGCAAAAAATTCAAGATTTTTTCAAGTTCTTGATTTTTGGGGATTTCGTTGAAATTGAGACGATAACAAATGAAAATTCAAGATTTTTTTCAAGATCGAAATTCTATGTTTTTTTTCAAAAATCAAGCGCAGATTTTTAAAATTCAAGATTTTTTTCAAGATTGAAAACCAACCAAAAACGAAAATTCAAGATTTTTTTCAAGATTGAAAACCAACCAAAACAGAAAAAAACAAGATACATGATTATATTATATATATATGTGTTACATTATGTTATATTATATACGATCATTGATTGGTGAGCTGCCTGTCTGTCCAGACATTACCCATTAACCGCCTGTCCATGCATGATTTTCTCATGTCCAGGCTATTGCATGAGAGCTGCCTCTCCAGGCATTTTTTCTCGATCTCTATTCCAGACACCATGACCTGCCTGTCCAAGCATTAAGACACAACATGTCTGTCCAGACATTGCCCAGATCCTGCCTGTCCAGGCATTGAGACATCGTTTGACAACCTATAAGTTCAAAAGTCTCTTTGAATCTTCCTGATCCATGTCAAGCCATCCCTTCAGGATCAAGTCATGAAACAAGGCGAATTTGCTGCAAACCTTTTCAGGTACCTGCCAGGCGGCAGTTCCACGATCACAGCTGCTAGCTATCCTTTTCACTATGGACATAAAACTCTCCGGGCCGTATGTCCAACATGTTCTGGGTGTGGCCCATCTGCACTGCTCAGGAAAATGGGCCAACAAGTGGAACTTCTGCACGATGCTGTATCTCGTCTTGCCTTTGCGAAATGCAGCCTTGGCCAGGTATGCATAGTGGGACAGAAAGGCATGCGCGGCCTTGTCAAATTTCTCGTGGTTCTTGCTGCTCCAGAACCATTCTTTCCGATCAGCCAAATCATACAGAGTTTTCATTGCCTTGCAAGCTTCTGCTCTGTGTCGTCCCTCTTCCGTCCCCGTGAACTTGTTCGCCAGCACAACCTAAAAATTATGTCAAAGGTTGGGAGTAAATGTGTGCACATTTAGATAAGATATTTTACCATGCATCCAGGAAACAGCCACATCGGCAAAATCCCTGATCTTCCGGCCCTTGATGTGCAGCAGGCACGGGTAGTCAGAGGCCCCCACGAGGTTGGTCTTGGCGATCTTGGGAATTCTGCGATTGGCAGGGATTCCCAGCTCAACATATGTTTCCATGATCCTCAGCAGCTATATAGAAAAACGAAAATGCGACACCCTGCAGCTTAAGCCCGGGCCACAGACAATATAATATAGCCTAGCGGCAAAGCATTCAGTGCAGCCATCCTCTCTAAACAAGAAGAACCAGGGAGCTCGTCCTGCACCAAGTCGTAGAGCAGGTTCCCGAACAGGTGTGCCTGACTGTCAGATGTACATATAGTACATCTATAGTCGATCATCAATTCCATCTATATATATATATATGTATATATCAGAAAATCGTATTATGTACTCAGGGAAAGTCTAGACCACCAAGATCGAAGCCCAGATGCACTGCACCCCAAGTCTACCATGTGAAGTAGGTCCAGTTTCAGGCTCCAGGCATTCACTCCGGGGACACTGAACAAGAGGTGACCGTTGCTTGGTGGGGCCTTGAGCATGCCCCTCCATGCAGCACATGGGCGGAAGTCGTTGAACGGTGCCACCTCTTTGTCCTTGTTGAAGAGGTTGTCCGCCTTACAGTAAGGACACGGCTGGTTGCTCAAGGCAGTGGGCCATCCAAACTCTTGGGCAAAGAATTCCAGATCCCCAGCCACAGCCATCAACACACATCGCCTCAAAGGCTTGCCGTCTGGATGCTTGCCTGCAGCCAGTGCACTCAGACTGGCAGCGAGTTCCTTCCACAAGGCTGTCCAAGAACCAGCGTTGGCATCTTTCGGCAGGCAAGCAAGCAGCAGCTCGGAGCTCTTAATCGACCTGTCCGATATGAGGCAGCGAATGCTGACCACCAGCATGCTGTCAGTTTCAGAAAAACTGGCATGGTCACCATGTATCAAAAGTGGTATTGGCAGCTCCTTCTGGACGGAGAAAGTTTTCCAAAAAGGGTCCTTCATCTGGGGGCTCTTGAAGTTCACTTCTGACCAATACTGCTTCAATGCTGACGTACTGGCTGTAATACTTTCAAGCACACCGCCTTTGTCGAGGGACTCGATCCACAGATGAGGGAGCCTCAATGAAAAATAGTCAGTTAAGTCGTTTATTCAAATCATGCAGCTGCTGATTCAACTAGTTCAAACTATTTCAGTGATGCCTGCCGAGCAGCAGCACAGGCACGTTCTTGGGGGTCACTTTCCTTTCACCAGCGGCCAAATCTCTAAAGGAAACGTTGGTCTCGACGAAGGTCAGTCTGGGGGCCATCACATTGCTGAAGGCGAATTTCATCAGATCTCTGTGGGCGTTCTGGCTTGAATTGCCATATGCTCCCAATTGAGCCATCTTGGCCAAGTCAGGAGCATTTGCACCTTATATTAATGCATATGTCTACAGCCAAACGAAAAATATACACATTCGAACAAGACACCACTCTTCACGGCAGCATGGGCGTATTCCTGCAGCTTGCTGGCCGGCATCTTGCCTTCAGCGAAATCCCGGAGCATCATCAGTCCCATGGGCGAGGGTTCCATGGCATCCAGCCTTGCAGAGGCTCTTTTTCTTTTCGTCATATTTGCAAAACACACTAGAGCCCATACATGGCTGTATATAGATTCTTTCATGCATGCTTATAAATTTACAAGTCATATAGTGGCAGTCCAGCCATTGACAGCTTTCATCCCTCGAGGCTGTCCAGCCTTTAAGCTATACATGCCCGTCTAGGCTGTCCAGCCTTTGACTGCTCTGCATCGACCTTGCATGCATGAGGCTGTCCAGCCTGTGAACTAGAGTATGACTCAATGCAACAGCATGCTCTCAGAACCGTACTTTTTCATGAATTTCTCATTGTCTGCATGCATGCAGTGGTTAATTAAAGCCCATATGTTCGTCTTCTCTGAAGAGACACCGGCTGCCACTAGCTCAACAACTCCTGCAATGCTCTGCACAGTTGCCTGGCTTTTCCGGCCTTCTTCTCCCAGGCCCGTTTCGGTGTAGAGCCCACCATGTCCTCGACGGTAAACAAGCTGTGCACAAAGTCAAAGTCCAGGGCTGGGTGCTTGGAGATCAAACTCGAGACAAAGTCGCCTCGCTTGCGGATTCTCATTTCCTCGGTCGTCTCCAGCTTCTCGTCCATGGGTGGGGCCATGAAGCTCAGCAAGGTGGACTTTTCTGTGTCAAGCTAAAAACCTTCACCGCGGGGCCAAAACTGCGACTTTTTTTCTCCAGACTTGACAGCAACTAGTTTAAAGCATAGACCAGGTGGCTGTCCAGCCATTGATGTTTTAGCGTGGCTGCCCAGCCATTGATGCTTAAAAAATGTTTTAAAAAACAAGCTAGCATGCATGTGTATAAGAGCAGAGCAAAAGTGGATATCACACAATAGCCAGTTTATCAGTATATATATATATATAACGATGTAACATAAATTGCACATTTGTGTAGCACTATAAATGGTATATTGCATACAAAGAAAACACTATATTAATATAATTTATTTCTCACATCTACTTAAGATAACACACACAGACATATACATATATATATATATATATATATATAATGTGCACATACATATACACACATTTCAGGTTTCAATATAGACTGTTAGCAAGAGTATATATTTGTATAAAAAGAAAACATTAAGAGATACAATACTTGATATATCCTAGTAGAATAGCAGACACGATACGTGCAAACAGTAATCAACATAATATTTCAAGAGCAAATGAAAAATCAACCAAACCAGAAATACCATACATGTGGCTGTTCCAGCCATTGATACTTTTTCGCATGGCTGTCCAGCCATTGATGTTTTAGCGTGGCTGTCCAGCCAGTAATATGTGGCCAATTTTCGGCTTGCAAGCTTCAGATAAACCTATACTGGCAGATCTAGCGGTCCTCGGGAGGAAGCTGTACAGTAAATTAAAATGTCGAGGGTCTAAGCTAGATGCCAAAACCGATCTCTGGCCGATCTTCAGTGGCCTCAGTCAGTCCTTGCTCTTCCTCTTCTTGTCCTTGCAGCAATCCATGGCCTTCGCCGTCTTGCTCTTTTTGAGGGCATTCAAGCCGGCCACCAGGGCCTCCTTCACCTCCTCAAGCTTCAGGGTTTTGCGGGCTTTTTGAAGGGTCTGCAAGGCACCTTCCAAAGAGGTCTGGGTCTTCTTCACGAAGGTCTTCTCGTCGGCGTCGGCCTTCTCAAGGTTCAAGGCCTTGAAAAAGTCAGTGTCCTTCTGGATCTCCTGCAGAAAGCTGTCGATCTTGCTCTTGAACTCGGGCTTGCCGTCAGCATCTCCCAGCTGGGAGGTTTTCTCCCAGTCTTTCTCACTAGATCTGGTCGAGCTGTCCTTCGAAGCTTTCTTCAAGATCTTCACTTTGAGCTTCTTCTTCTTCTTTTTCTCTGAGGAGGAGCTGGAAGAGGAAGCCCCAGAGCTGCCCTCAGTCGCTCCGATCTTGGTCAGGATCAAGTTCTTCACATCCTCGTCCACCTCCATGCTCTCCAGGGCGGTCTGCATCTCGAAGTCCTCGGCCGTCACATCCTCGATCTTCAGGCCCTCCATGTCGTGCAAGAGTTTCTTGTCCACCTTGCCACCCTCGGTTTCCACCTGGGTCTTTCTCTTCTTGACGTGCTCATGCGAGAAGCTTTCTTGCACGTGTCTGAACTCCAAAAAATTCCTTGGCTGGTTTCTTCAAACTCAAAAGACATTGCTCCCCATATAGGGTTTAGGGTTTAGGGTTTAGGGTTTAGGGTTTAGGGTTTAGGGTTTAGGTATGAGTATAATATATAAGAAAAGAAGCCTCTTATAATTCAAGCAAAGCCTCGTGTCTGACGGTGACCGTCTGTATTTCAACGATCCGTTCTCGAGTCTCTGAAGTGCTTCTTTCTTGCCGAACTTCTTGCACACCTGCTTCCACGAGATCCACTGCACCTCTGTCTTGTGCCGGTCCAGGGCCTCAAAGGCCAACTGAGCTTTGCGAAAGCTCGGGCCCACGGAGCAGCCGTCGCTGAGCCACCCACGTAAGAACTCGTGCTTCTTGTTCGTGGCACCAGAGCCATTCGTCAACTTCTTAAAGTCCTCATCCACCTAGTTTCCAAAGAGCCTGTTGCTCGGCGGGCTTCAACTTCCTGAATGCCTCGTGCAGCTCAGTCGCACTCCATCCCCGAGCCTCCATCAAATCTGTGTGCTTCTTCACGTTCTTGAGTGTAAAGGGGTACTTGGTGACAGCCTTGGCAAGCTTCTCCTGTGGGTCGACCAAGGGGTCCTCTGTTCTTTCCTCCTCTTCACCGTGTTCGCCCTCGTCATGGTCAGCGTCCATGTTTTCAAGGACCTCCTCTTTTGTCTGGGCCTCTTTTGTCTTGGCACTGGGCTTTTTCAGCACAGCAGCTGCAGCAGCAGGCTTCTTGTTCGTCGGCATAGCTTAACTATATAGCTTCTCTGAACCTATCTGAAACTGGGGGCCAAAGATCTGGGGACACATAGTGCGTGCACATGCACAGCAAAATATACATAGTATTGTTTATATATATAATACTAATAATATTAGTATATTATATATATATTATATATACATATATGTGTGTGTGTTCATTTATTTATACATTTATCTATCTAAATTTTGCTTTGAGTCATGATGCTATATGTATCGATCTATTTATAGCATGGAAACATTATAGGGTTTAGGGTCTAGGGTTTAGGGTTTGGGATTTGGGGTTTAGGGTTTGGGGTTCAAGATTTATGGTTCAGGGTTTAGGGTTTAGGCCTGGTTTAGGGGCTTCTTTGTCTGGACAGACAAGGGAAAGTTTTTTTCGGCGGTGTCTTGTCTGGACAGACAAGACACCAGAGGAGAACATGTCTGGACAGACAAGGGAGAATTTTGTTTTCGGCGGGGTCTTGTTTGGACAGACAAGACACCAGAGGATAATATGTCTGGACAGACAAGGGAAAGTTGTTTTTCGGTGGTGTCTTGTTTGGACAAGACACCAGAGGAGAACATGTCTGGACAGACAAGGGAAAGTTGTTTTTCGGCGGTGTCCTGTCTGGACAGACAAAACACCATGTCTTGTCTGGACAGACAAGTTGGGGGAGGGGGGGGGGGGAGCGGGTCGTGTCTGGACAGACAAGTATGATGCCTTTTCTGGACGAGATCAGGGCGTTAATACGGCAGGAGGGAGGGGGGAGGGGGGGGTGGGTGTGTCTGGACAGACACAACTATATGGGGACGAAGCCTCTCTGGACAGGCGATACTCAATAAGGGGGGAGAGGGGGGGGGGGGGGGGGTGGTGTTAAACCCTAAACCCCAAACCCTAAATCTTAAACCCTAAACTCTGAACCCTAAACCCTAAGCCCTAAACCCTAATCCATAAACCCTAAACCCTAAACCTTAAACCCTAAACCCTAAACCCTAAACCCTAAAGCTTAAACCCTAAATGCTTTTTTTCTTGTTTTCCACAGAAAGACACATGACAACATGTGACGTTTTCTGCTTTTTCACAGAAAGACACATGACGTCATGTGCTGTTTTCTGCTTTTTCACAGAAAGACACATGACGTCACATGTTTTCTTTTGGCTCTTTTTTTGAAGACACATGACATCACATGATTTGTGTCGGGTTTCCACAGAAAGACACATGACGTGCAGTTGTTGGCACAGCTTGTCATGTGATGTGCGGGTTTCTTTCACATGACATACTGTGACGTGTTTTTTGGGTCACAGTATGTCATGTGTCTTGTTTGGTGTGCCACAATGTGTCATATGACGTTTTTCGATGCCACAGTTTGTCATGTGACGATTTGGGCGTCGTCACAGAATGTCATGTGATCTAGTTCTTGTGTCACATGACATTCTGTGACTGGCACAGATCGTCACATGACGTGTGCTTTGCTTTCACAGAAAGACACATGACAGCATATGACGTTTGGTAGGTTTCCACAGAAAGACACATGACAGCACATGACGTTTGGTAGGTTTCCACAGAAAGACACATGACAGCACATGACGTTTGGTAGGTTTCCACAGAAAGACACATGACAGCACATGATTTGTGGTAGGTTTCCACAGAAAAACATTCTAGGGTTTAGGGTTTGGCGTCAAACCTTTTAAGGTTTGGCGTCAAAAACCTAAAGCCTAAACCCTAAACCCTAAACTCTAAACCCTAAACCCTAAACTCTAAACCCTAAACTCTAAACCCTAAACCCTAAACCCTAAACCCTAAACCCTAAACCCTAAACCCTAAACCCTAAACCCTAAACCCTAAACCCCAAAGCTTAAACCCTAAATACTAAACCCTAAACCCTAAACCCTCCAGGTTTTAAGGACTAAGCTTCGAGGTTTTAAGCTTTTACTTGTCTGTCTATTTTCACGATATAATGTATATATTTATATATATAAATTATATTTATGATGTTTCGGTCTTGTGGTTTTATGACATCTCTATGTCTATTGTGTTATATATTGATTTTGTGCATATGTTCAGGCTCCACTTAAGCACAACTTGTCTGTCCAGACATTAACGTGCAATGAAACCAACAGGTTTCGTCCATCGATCAATGTAATGTCTGTCCAGACATTAAGTTCCCACACCTGAGCTCTCGAATCCAAAGGCCTGTTTCAGAATGTCTGTCCAGACATTGAGTTCCCACACTTATCTCTCAAAGGTCTTATTCAAATTCATGTCTGTCCAGACATTAAGTTCACACACACTTATCTCTCAAAGGTCTTATTCAAATTCACTTCTCTCAAAGGTCTTATTCAAAGTCACTTAAGCTCTCAAAGGATTTTTCACACGGCGGTCGCAGGCGATCTGGAAGATTCTCTGGAGTCCGGGCTCTCATCTGCGACCCTCAGTCGTCAAGAAGATCGCTAGCGTCGGGTCTTACATCGTGGTTCTCGGCCAGGTTCCGAAGCAAGTCTACACACTTCTTCAGGCCCCGAAACCCATCGTGACAGCCCTTTCGCATGCAACCCTGGCACCCCTTGCTTCGAAGAGGGGACGAGTGGCAAACGAAACTCATGTGGTGGCAGTCGCCACACACTTTAAACAACTTTCGGTGGTTACCGAAAAAGCTCTCACTCAGGTTACCAACATAATCTGGATCCTGGGCCTAGGTCTGGATGGGATCATCTTGCCTGTCCAGGCATTAAACCATGCATGCCTGTCCAGGCATTAAACCATGCCTGTCCAGGCATTAATTTAAATGTCTGTCCAGACACCGGTGCATCCGGGGCAGCTCCATCTCCACCAGCTGCATCTCCAGCCTGCTGGCCATCGTCCATCTGTCCTTTCAAGTGTATCCATCTCTGTATCTCTCTCTGTCTCTCTCTCTGTCTCTGTCTCTCTCTCTCTCTCTCTCTCTCTCTCTCTCTCTCTCTGTATCTCTCTATCTCTCCCTCTCTCTATCGCTCCCTCTCTCTGTCTCCCACCCGTATCTCCTGCAGCTCCAGTTCCTGTCGGGGCATTGGGCCAGCTTCCACCTCCGGTGCCATTGTCGGCCTCAGGGAATTCAAAAGCGAAACCCAAAATATATACATGCACTCTGTGTCGGCCACAGCCTGCCAAGCTTGCTGTCCACTCCACGGGTCGGGGGCATCCTCATCAAATAATGTTTTACTTCAGTCACCAAAAAACACAGACACAAGCATGCAATATCTCCTGGCCCTGCTGGGTTGACGGTGTGCCCCAGCCACTGGTCGGGTCCTGTCGGGGTGCACCGAAAATATCCCACAGCGTGCAACACATTATATATGGAGATATGCACTTACATGCCGGGCCTGGCTTGGCCACGAGTCCCACGAGTGGCCGGACCAGTCCTGGCATCAACTCATGCCCATGGTCTGTCCAGACCTTCAGAAATATTTGCACCGGGCCTGCCACCAGGCCGTCTGCCACTGCTGCCACCCCGGCATGCTGGGCTGCCACCATGCAGCCTCAAGTGCATCTTTAGCCCCATCGCTTTAGTCAAAATGGTCAAAAAAATTAATCAGTGCGAGCTCTGCAGCATCGTTCTGGGTGTCGTTCTGCTGCTGGCTCTGGTTGTCGGGGTCGTTCTGCTGGGGCTGGTTCTGGGCGTCGTTCTGCTGGGGGCCTTGGTCCTGCAATTAAATCAAATGTTTCTGGATCCTATGAACCTTTTCTTGGTGCAGGGCTGGTCCTGTCCACCACCATACCCACCACCACTTCCACTTCCACTGGCCCCAGCTCCCATGTTTTCCTGTCAAGCTTAAGTGGCTTCTTTTCTCATGTACATGTCAAGCATGACTGTCCAGTCATTAAACACGGCAACTACTGCACTTCTGATCCGGCCTGAACCTCTTGCCACCAGGGCAGCTCACTGGCCTCTGCTTGGCGGTCCCTCTCGGCCATGGCCTCCAGCAGATAGTTCATCATCTTCTCGTATGTCTCAAAAGGAGACTCCCTTAGTTCACACGTACATTTCTTGCATGTCTGTCCAGACATTATCAATGCATATTTTACCACTTATCTTTTCATATGTGGGTCAAGTTAAGAACTTCCAAGTTTCCGGTACACTCGTGTGAAGAAGCTCCGGGCGGACTCTCCCGTACCTGGGTTCAGCTTCGACTCCTTGGCCGTGAAGTCCACCAGGCACTGCATCCATTGCCCAAAAGGCACCTCTGGATGCAAGCGGCCCCAAACGGCACGGAGGTTCCTTGGATGGAAACTCATCTTTCATGACTGTCCAGTCAATATAAACAATCTCTCATGTCCAGTCATTAAAGGATCATCCCTCGATCATGACTGTCCAGTCACTAAACATATATAGGGTGTCTGTCCAGACATTGAACTGCATATCTTGCAAACTTTTGTTCAAACACCATGTCTGTCCAGACATTGAAATGTCTATAAAAATTAAGCCACGTCACTCGCGCCAAAGTGCACTCATGGTTCCCTGCTGCACGTCGCGGCGGTCACTGAAGCCCTTGCCCCCGATCGCCGAGGGGACATCTCTCCCTCGGCGATCGGGGGCGTTCGTACCAAGCAACGGGTCTTGCTTGCCCTTGCCGGAGATCGTTCCAGGCCCCATGGCACCGTGCTTCAAAGCTAGCTTCAGTGCTGTGCTTGGGCCAG